CAAAAATAATTAAGCTAAACTTTATACGCTTAAAAATGTCACTACACCTCCAACAAATCAAGCAATTTTATGCGCTACTGGTGTATGAACCTTTTGACAATATTTTAAAGTAAATATAATAACAATTTAGGTACATTTACCAAATTTAATTTACAAAATTCCAGACGATGCACAACAAAAATAATTTCCATGTCAGCAGAAATTTTCACTCTGTCAAATGTACTGCGTTGCCAACAACGGCTCTAATGTTTTCAGCGTTGCCATTTGTGCTATAGTATAATTGGGACTGGGTACTACGAGAAGAAGCAGCAGATTTATAACGGGCGCGAAAATTTGCAGAATTGTTTCCTGCGAAAAGAGTTTTTCCGGTTTTTGTACAAATTTGGTGTAATACCGCTTCCGGATGTGAATTTTTGTGATGAAAATGGAAACTCAGAGTTAAGCCCGTCTGAAAGCAATATAAATAAACGCGAATGTGTTGTGATATAAAATTTTATGGAGCCGCAGTTGGCTGAATGTGGCGCCCAGGTGTAATTCATAGTGTGGTTCATGTTAAAATATGCTGTAGGCTCCAATTTGTGTGAATGTAGCTATATTTTTTGCAAATTGTGTTTTAAATAAGCTAAAGTGCATTGTGTTTAAGTTAATGGCGTCTGACGCAGCGCAATCCATAATGTGGTCTTCCAAAGGAAGTAGCAAAGGCACGTGTGAAAATATTTGTATAGCGATTAAATTAGAATAAAATGTGTGGTGATATAAAATCGAAGTAGGCAGAAGAGGTCAATGTGCCGCAGGCCACCCAGTGGTCTTTGAAAAAAGTTAGTGAATGCAAATTGCTGAAATGCGAGTAAAGTGTTATATAATTTGAAATCCTATGTGTTTGCAATTCATGTGTGAATGCCGGCAGGTGTCTAGTGCAAATTTATAAAAATAAAGCAAATTTAAAAAAAGCAAAGCTTCTTAGCTTTGTAATTAGAAATAAATTCAGCTATTTTCTACCGCATGAAGAATTTTATAATGCTGAAATAGCCATAATTGGGAACTTCAGATCCAGTTGAAGCCAATAACGCTCATGGTAAGTCAGTTTGTTATTCTATAACCGAAAGCAAGTACAAACATATTTTTAATTAAATGATTTTTTACAACAACTAGTAGTTTATTAACAAATACATACATTAAACATATGTATGGACTTAAGTATGTATCAGTAGTAGATAAAATGAGGAATATGCATACATATACATACATAGGTACATTTGTGTTTACAAATTAAGTACAGGTATCCAATTCCTTTTCTCGAAAATTCATGTATGATTAATATTGGTATATTGCGTTTTCTGCGGATAATTTATATTTTAAACTTATACAAATCTTGGAAAAAGCTCTGAAAATTACAACCTGCAAACTAAATTGGATGAATTTAATTTAAAAAATTTTCTACATTACTTTTTAATTGGTTCGTTTTCTATAAAATTTATTTAAAATTTTCAACGCTCTCATATTTTAGAGCTAATACAAGGCTACGTAAATAAGTGCAAAGCGTTTGTAATGTATTTACATGTTTTTAAGGACATTCGCCTTTCGCGAATATCGTTTAATTTGAATTACAGCCATTTTTCGTGATTAAATACAAATAAGTAAACAATATACAGCTAAATTTTTACATTCTTCCCCCATTTACTTCTGGCGTTGTCGCTCGACCGCCCAGCATTTGTATAATCTCCTGCTGACCTCCTTTGACAGCATAGTCCAATGGTGTAAGATCTAGCATATCTTTTACCTTTGGGTTATCAAAAATATCCAACAGGAAGCGCACCAATTCCGCATGACCATGTAAAGCGGCCAAATGCAGCGCTGTGCGACCAGAGGGATCAGGTTGCGCCAAATCAGCACCAGCGAGTTGATAAGACTTTAGTCGCAATAGGGCGCCACGTGCAGCAGCAGCACACAACTGCTCACCGATGGCGCGTGATGAACCCGTAAGATGGGCACCACAGTTGATAAGTATCTGTATAATGTCGTGATGATCGCCTGCGATTGCTTCTAAGAGTGGAGTGCGGTCGTAATGATCACGTATGTGCACTGATACGCCATTCATTAGTAAATGATTGACAACAGCAAAATTGCCCTGATTGCAGGCGAGATGGAGCGCTGTACGATGATCGTGATTCACGCAAGAGAGATCAGCACCGTACGCTTTTAGGTTGATAATCTGAAAAAGACGAGGACGGTGATGAG